GACACCCCCGTGGCCAGTCTCTCGGCCATACCACGGCACGGGGCTGGTTTTGACGTGTGGGTGGGGCCCAGAATGCCGCATCCAGCATCTCTGGCTGGGCTACGGGGGTGCGCTGGGGAGCACAAGGGACAGAAGGGAGGACCCTGGTCACGCTTGGGCACAGGTCAGTGCCCTGGGGTTGGGGATGGTGATTTGCTGATGGGCGTCAGGACCATTGGTGCCACGCAGTGCCGTCCGCGGGGGCTTCTGGGAAAGACGGGCATCAAGATGATGGTCAGACAGACTGACAAACCACCCAGCAGGGCACCACACTGGTGCCAGCCCAGAGGACATGAGTATGGGCCTTAAAACCGAGGGCATTGGAAACAAGATGTTTTTACTTCTCGTCGGGGAGTAATAGAATTGCATTTTGTGGCTCTGCAACTGCCGGGGCAGCTGCTTGGAGGGGCTTAGCTCAGCCTCGTGGAGAAAACCCAGTGCAGAACTCACAAAAGACGTGTGTGCGTTCATGTGTGTGTATTTGTGTGTGCATGTGTGTGTGCCCTCAGGTGTGTGTGCGCGTGTGAGTGTATACATGTGTGTACATGTGTGCATGCGTGTGTACATGTGTGTGCGTGTGTGCGTGTGTGTATGTGTATACGTGTGTATGTATGTGCATGTGTATCTGTGCAAACCGGTGTGTACATGTGTGTATGTGTGTACATGTGTATATGTGTGTGCATGTGTATACGTGTGTATATGCGTATACGTGTGTGTATGTGTGTACGTGTGTGTACGTGTATATGTGTGTACATGTGTATACCTGTTGTATGTGTGTATGTGTATACGTGTGTGTGTACGTGTGTATATGTGTATACGTGTGTGTATGTGTGTACGTGTGTGTATGTGTGTATGTGTGTACATGTGTATACCTGTGTGTACATGTGTGTATATGTGTATACTGTGTGTATGTGTGTATGTGTACATGTGTATATGTGTGTGCATGTGTGTATATGTGTGTACATGTGTGTGTGTGTGAACGCGCACATGTGCATGCCCGAGTGAAATCTGAGATTAGGCAGAAAACATATTCCTGCTGCTTAGGCCCAGGAGGAAGGAGCCAAACGTGTCCCTGACGCGGCAGCCCTGGTCCCCAGGGTGCACAGGCCAGTGGTGGCCTTGTTCTCTGCCCAGGTCACCCAGCCCAGCCGGTGTCTCTGGACGATGCCCGCTAAGTGCTGGTGTGGTCACTCCCGAGCCACCTGGACCGAGAGCTGAAGGTGGGCGCCGCCTGCCCCTGTCCCCATGGACAGGGTCCACGGCCCTGTGGCCTGTCCTCTCGCCCGCCAATGGGTGAGTCCAGTGGGTCTGGCGGCAGAGGCCTCATTGCTGTTCCTGAGGTCAGCTGTGAGCACTGCCCTGCCCCCGGGTCTCTGCTTGGGCTGTTCTCATGCCCGAGCTGGAGAGGCAGCTAGAAGAATAGTCGCCTGTGCCCTGAGTACCCACAGGCCGAGGGTTGGGAGCCGAGTGGGGGGCAAAGGAAATGGGCTAGCTGCTCCGTGAACATCTTCTCTCCCTCCAGAGACCCCCCAAGTGGCTTCTATCGTGTTTTGCTTCGGTTGGCACTCAAGGCAGCTGTGGTCCCTGGTGGCAGAGACTGATGGGTGGGAGCTGGGTCTGGGGGCGCCGGGCACAGGGCACATCGTTTCTCTGGAGCCCTGGGCGGTAGCCGCACCCCTTCCTGCCTCTCTCCATACCCCCAGCCCGGGAGCCTCTGCCCACCCTAGTCACCATCACCTTCTGGGCCCCTGGGGACTGTCCCTGCATGATGCCACCTCCCCGTCCATGATGTCCGCTGCACGGTGCTCCCCCATGGACACCCACGGCATGATGCTCCAATCCATGGACGTCCATTTGTGAGCCCCGCCAATCCCTGGATGGCCAGTGCATGTGGTGTCCCCATGGACACACCCACCCGACCACCCCTGCACCTGTGTGGCCTCTCGCTGGCCTTCCTTGGTGTCCTGGGGCAGCAGGGACGTCTCTTCCCTTTGGAGGCAGGAAGATGACCTGTGCATGGACACTGTGCCATCCACTACTGACATGGCTCTGGGGTCTTTAGTGTCCTGAGCGTCCAGGAGTGTCCAGGCTGGACTGTCCCTGCAGGGCAGGAGGGGGAGGGGATTCATGTCACCTGGGCTGGGACTGTGAGTCCTTGCGGGGCTCGGCCCACGTGGGGCCCCTGGGGCCAGTCTTCCTGCCCGTGACTCAGTTTCCTGCTGTGTCTTTTCAGCTCTCTTCCTCTGGGGCGGAGGGGGGTGCCATGGGGTTGGGGGTCTTACCTCTGAGGGAGTTAGTGTTTCCCCGAGTAAGGGTGTCCCCCAGGAGGGGGCCTGGTGACCCTGGGGGGGGGGCGCGAGCGGGTCCGGGTACAGCCGTGGCCCTTCCTGCTTCCTGGAGGGCGCTGAGTGGGGGGCCTTGTGCTGGGAGGGGCTCCCTCCTTGTCTCTGGCTCACTGCTTCCTGGGGGTCCAGAAAAGCCCCGCAGATGAGGGACTTGCCGGATCACTCTAACGGAGGGTCCCAGAATCAGGCAGAGCATTTGCTGAGGGGCCTTGTACCTGCCGGGAGGGGTGGGCAGTAGGGGGCCAGTGGGGAGTAGGGAGTGGCCTTGGGGGGGTCATGGCACGATGGTGGGGATACTCTCCGTGATGGCGAAAATCTCCCTGCAGAGGGACACGCCGCCAGTGGCGGGGCCTCTCCACTGTGAGGTGGGATACTCTGCTTGTGGTGAAGGTACTCCACAGAGGGACAATCTGCCCGCAGTGGGGATGCGCTACCTGTGATGGTTACTCCACCTTGGTGGGGATACTCTGCCTGTGATGGGGATACCCCACTGGTGATGGGTTTACTCCTGCAGTGGTGGGAATACTCTTATCTCTGGTAGGGATTCTCTTATCTGTGGTGGGGATACCCGGTCTGTCGTCGGATACTCCGCCTGTGGTGGGATACTCTACCTGTGATGGGATACTCTGCCTGTGAAGGGGGATACCCCACCGGTGATGGGTTTACTCCTCCAGTGGTGGGAACACTCTTATCTGTGGTGGGGATACTCAGCCTTGATGGGACACTCCGCCCATGTGGGGTCACTCTGCCTATGGGACGGCTCTCCCCGTGTTCCCTTTCCTGCCCTCGGCTCTGAAACCCACACCCCTCCCCCAGCCCCTTCCATTAAGTGTTTAATTGTGAATTCTGGTATGGGTTTCTGGATGGCTAATCACACACACACACACACACACACACACACACACACACACACACACACAGAGTCAGCTGCCCCCTGGTGCCCTCAGCTGTCTTTTCGTGTCCTCTGATGCTCTGAGCTGCCCGCACCTGCCCACACACAGTGCTCAGGGGCACGTCTGGCCACATGTTGCCCACCTCCTGCCCTCCTGGGCGTTCTCTGTGTCCCTGTGTGGACAGGTGGGGGCTCTCCCTGCCCCCGGGAGCACGTGGTCTTGGGGAGCAAGCCCGCTGGGGGCAGGCGGGTGGGTCCCCCAGTATGCCCGGAGGGGGCAGGCAGGGTTGGGGCATCCTGGAAGGGAAGTAGAAGCCGGCAGGTGGGGGAAGGGCGGTGGCCTGGCACTGAGCTCTGGTTCTGGTTCTGGGTACCCTGGCCACTGCCGGCCCAGCACTCTGGTGGCCACTGGCTGCCTGGCCATGGGAACCTGGGCATGGGGAGCAGGTGCCAGGATGATGCGGGCCCCAGTGTGCCCTCAAGGTCTGAGCCCAACTCCATGTGGGCTGTTGTGGCCACTGACCTTGTAGGGGGTCCAAGGTCAGAGGGTCAGCGCCTGGGTCCCCCCCACCCCCACCCTGCCAGGCCCCGGGCCCCGCTGTGGGTGGAGAGGGGGACCGCATTTCTCCGTTCCTCGCGATTCAGGGGAGCTGCCAGGCTGGATCCGGTCGGAGAGGGGAGTAATGGGCCGTGTCATGCCTCGGAGCTGAGCGGTGACTTATGGGGGTGTCACCTGCCGGCTTCTGTGGGAGGAATTAATAACTCAGCAGCCCCGTGATGCCGCTGCCTTTATCAATATTTCATTCACCTTCGGGGTCCGCGTCCCTCCGGCCTCACCTGACGCGTGACGGCAACTGCGCTCAGGCAACCCTCGGAATGGGGTGCTAGCAGGCGGGGTCTCGGGGTGCAGCCCCCCTTCCCTCCCTGCTCCACCTCCCCCCTGCCATCTTCTTCCTCTCCCTCCCTTTCCCTTCCCTCTCCTCCCCTTCCTTCTCTTCCCTCCCCTCCCCCTTCCTTGTCTCTCTCCTTCCCTCCTCCCTCCCCTCCTCCCCTCCCTCCCCTTCCCTCCCCCCTCCTCTCCCCTCCCCTCCTCCCCCCCTCTTCCCCTCCCCCCTTCCCCTCCCCTCCCCCTCCTCCCTTTCCCTCTCCCTCCTCTCCTCCCCTCCCCCTCCTCCCCTCCCCTCTCCCTCTTCCCCTCTTTCCCTCCTCCCCTCCCCTCCCCCTCCTCCCCTCTTTCCCTCCCCTCCTCCCCTCCCCTCCTCCCTTCCCCTCCTCACTTCCCCTCCTCCTCTCCCCTTCTCCTTTCCCCCTCCTCCCCTTCCCTCTCCCTCCTCCCCTCTTTCCCTCCCCTCACCCTCCCTCTCCCTGCCCCTCCCCCTCCCTGAGCGAAGGTTTCCTGTTTCCTGTGTGATGGGGCTGACAGGTGGAGCTCAGGGTGAGGGTCTTCTTCTTCCTTATTGCTGTGACCACTAGCTGTGGCTAGTGACAGAGGGGGTTGTCAGCGCCTATGCCCCAGAGGCTGTCGGTTTTCCACTCTCTCAGGCCTGCCCCAGAGCTGGGTGAGGGGCATGGTGGGCGCGGGGCCGGCCCCTGAGTGCTGAGGAGCCCTGTCCCACTCGGGCTTCCCTGCTGGCCGCGGGGGGCTGGGACTCCCCCATGTTCTGACGTCCCGACCACCCTGGGAGCTCCTCGTGGCTCACAATCCTTTTGTTCTTCTGTTTCAGGAAATCGCGGCTTATTTAATCACCTTCGAGAAACACGAAGAATGGCTGACCACGTCCCCTAAGACCAGGTAAGGCGTCTGCCCGGTGCTTGGTCTGTGCCCGTGGCCTGGATCGGCCGATGCTTCCCTGGAGGCCTCCAGGCTCATGACCTCGGGGTCTCCCTGGGCGACCTCAGTAGCCTGAGCGACCTGGGTGTGACTCGGGGAAGTGGTGTCTCCCAGAGTCATGTTGTCAGGTGAGGCGTGGGGCCTCACCTCCGAGGGCTCCGTTGACTCCGTTTTTACTTGTTTGCTTGGTGTTTGGGCCACACTGGTGGCACTTGAGAGGCTCCTCTGGACTCTGTGCTTGGGTCACACCTGGTGGTGCTCAGGGGACCCCGGACAGGGCTGGGCGTCAGCCCAGAGCCGGCTGCGTGCAAGGCCAGTGCCTGTCCCCTGTCCCCCAGTCTCGTTCCACACCAGCCCTCGCCCCTACAGATGGAGGATCCCTCCCCGCTTGGAGGGGGCTTGGCCGACCGTGCTCACGCGGGGCTAGGGTTTTATTCTACTTTTCGGGTCTGGGGCCTCCTGCAGTGGGACGCTGTGCCGAGGGTGCTCCTGGCGGTGCTCAGGGGACATGCTCAGGGTGGGGTTGGGGCTCGGCCCAGTCTGCAGCTTGGGCAGGGGAGGGGTGGGGAGTGTCTTGTGCTCGCCCCCCTCCCTCCACCCCAGGCAGGCCTGTGGAGATGCTGGTTCCTTCAGGCCAGAAGCGGGGTCAGCTTGTGCCGGCCCAGGACAGGCGGGCCGGGTCTGCGCACCGCGTGGGGTCGGCTCCCTCTGTCCTTCCTTCCCAGACCGCCCACCCTAACCCCCGGTGGTCCCAGGTCTCTGCTGATACTCAGGTTTCCAGGTTTCTGTTCCTTGCTGCACACTGAAATAACTAGAAGTCGCATCTCGTGAAGTCAACTGACAGGTTCTGCCGCCTGGCGGGGGGGGGGGGGTCCCTTCTCCGGGCATGCTTTAGGCTGTGGGCAGGAGCCGGGCTGAGCTCTGGGCAGGACTCGGACCCGTCCCTGGGCCCGGGAGGCCTGGCCGGTGTCCAGCAGCAGAGCCTGATGGGGCAACTGGAAAGGGTGCTCATCCAGCGTGCCTGGCTGGGGGCTCAGTCTGGCCCAGCCCTGCCCAGGACTCTCCACAGAGCACTTGACCCCCACCCTGTCAGGGCCCCCTCACCCCGCCGGGGCCCGTTAGGCCTCCACACCCCCACAGGGATGCCTCATCCTGTCGGGGCCCCTCTTTTCGGGGTCCCCTCACCCCGTCAGGGCCTCTCACCCCCTCAGTGCTCCCTCACCCCTCAGTGCTTCCTCACCCTGTTAGTGCTCCCTCACCCCATCAGTGCTCCTTTATCCCATCAGTGCTCCCTCATCCCGTTAGTGCTCCCTCACCCCCTTAGTGCTCTTGCACCCCGTTAGTGCTCTGTCACCCTCTCAGTGCTCCCTCACCCCATCAGAGCCCCACATTCTGACAATGCTCCCTCACCACATCAGTGCTTCCTCACCCCCAGTGTTCCCTCACCCGACAGTGCTCCTTCACCCCAAAAGTGTTCCCTCACCTCATCAGTGCTCCCTCACTCCCTCAGTGCTCCCTCACCCTGACAGTGCTCCCTCACCCCGTCAGGGCCCCTTACCCTGTCAGGGTTCTCTCCTGCCGGCCTGTGTTGGGGTCCCCTTTCCTCCGAGCACTGGCTCACAGTTGCCCGCGGTGCCAGGAGGGAGCTGTGGCTGGGCTGGCAGCCCCGGGCTCCTGGCCACAGGTGGCCATGGGTTTGGCTCAGTGTGTTTTGAGTCTGCATGGAGACGCCAGGGGAGAACCAGGGTGGTCTGGTGGGCGCCACCTCCTGGGCACGTTCACGTGGGCACCATCCCTCATGGTCATTACTGGTGTGGGCCACATCGTGCTGGTGCCGTCCGTGTGGCATCACCAATGTGGGCAGCGCCCCCGTGGGTGTGATCCATGCGACACCGTCCTCACGGGCATCATCCACATGGGCGTGATCCAGGGGACAACGTCCACATGGGAATCGCCCACATGCGTCTCTGTGGGTCGAGGCCTCCTACGCATGCTCACTGGCTCTCATGAACACCATCCACTGCCCGAAATCAGGGAGAATGGCCAGCTCAGGCCTCTGCCAGCATGTGGGCACGGCGGAGCGGGGAGTGGCCAGTGAGAGGCCAGTGCAGTGGCCATGGCCGGCCCACAGCCATGCTCCGGTCTTGGGGGGCTCTTCCTCGAGGCTTCTGGGGGTGGGGGCTGTTAAAGTCCCACACCCTACCCAGAGCCTCACCCGGAGCCCTGACTCTGGGCCTGGCTGGCTTGGGGCGTCTGGTCCCCCAGGAGTGTGAGACCCTTGGTCCCACTGCCCCACCCCCACTGGGCCACCCCTGGCCCTGAGCTGGCCCCAGGCCTTTCAGCCCCGGTGCTCCTTTTTTTCCTTTGCTCTTTGGGTCACACCCAGTGATACTCAGGGGTCACTCCTGGCTCTGCACTCAGGAATTACTCCTGGCGGTGCTCAGGGACCATATGGGATGCTGGGAATCGAACCCAGGTCGGCCGCGTGCAAGGCAAATGCCTTACCCACTGTGCTATCACTCCAGCCCCGTGCAAGCCATTCCTTGAATCCTGGTGAAAACAAGCGTGTCTTGCTGTCGAGGGAGCACGGGGGGGGGGGGGGGGGGGAGGGGGGTGTCCCCATCTGCTGAAAGAACCGCCCCCTGGGGGTGGGAGCGCTGTCAGGGCTGGGTTTGGAGACCCTGCCCCACCCCCTCATCCCACAGAGGGGCTGCAGCTCTCAGCTCGGCCCCGAAGTCTGTGCGTGCGCAGTGGAGCAGGGGACGACAGCCGGTCCTCACGGCTCAGGCCACATGAGAGAACCAGGCTTGGCCTGCCGCGGGGGTCTGCACACGGGGGCACATGCGTGTTCCTCATCTCTGAGGAGTTCCCAGGTGCCTGAAGCCTGCGACTCCAGTGGGCCTCTGGGCCTGTGCCAGGTGCTGGCGGGCCTTGGGCAGGAAGCGGAACCTCTCCTGAGGGGATTGGGACCCCGCTGTGTGCCCCCCTCCCAGGGAGGGCAGGGTCCAGGGGAATGATCTCTACTGGGGCTCTCCCAGAGGTGGGGGGCTTGTAGGGGACTGGGGACCACCCGTGCCCTGCAAATGGGATTTCCCGCACTCGGACTGGGGCCGAGCGCCCGCACAGCCTTGGGCCGGCACTGCTGCCCCCTGCTAATTGCATTTTAGGAGATTAATAAAAGCGAATCGCCCCGCTGACATTTATAGAGCTTCCCAATCAAATGATCCATTGTTGGTGTGGAGGAATCCCCGGGAAATTAATTGTTGTAATCAGTTCCCATACAGAAGTGCCCTTGGGGCTGCCGTGGCGTCTCTCTGGGGCCTGTGGGTGGCCTGGTGTGAGGAGAGAGACCACCCCCACTCCCCAGAGTGTGCCCTGAGTCCGAGGGGGGAGGTCCTGGGAGGCTTCCCGCCCACTCTGCCCAGCTGTGCTCCCAGAGCTGACCGCCTCCCCCCCAACGCCCTGCTGATGGAGGGGCCATGACCCACCCCGAGGCCCGTATTCTGTTGTGTGCAGCCTGGACCCATGTGGCGATAGCAGCATGAAAACTCACCCTTCGGGCAGCTCACAGGGCGCGGGTCTCATGCTCGGAACCATCATAATCTCACCACAGACTCCCCCCCCCCCCCCACCCCTGCCCCCGGGAGCACCAGGTGACCAAGAGAGCCTGGAAGGAGGAACTCCTGCTGTTCTGGAATCTTCTCCCAGCTCCTCCTGCAGCAGCCTGACGTCGCACTGCCCACGCAGAGGGTGTGGGGCCTGGTCCGTCTGGGTGGCCCCCAAGCCTAGAACAATGCGGGGGTCCTTGCCCAAGGGGGCGAGGGGAGCTGGACCAGGCAGAGGAGCTGGGGTCCGGGGACCCGCGGAGGGGACGGGTGTAGCCATCTCCGCTGTCTGCCCACCCCCTTTGCAGGGCGGTTCCCTGCCCCCGCCCTGTGCCCCCTTCCAGCGGTATCCCAGGGCCTGCCCTCCCTGATTGCAGAGTGCCTGTGTGCGCTGGCATTTGAGTGTCCCCATGGCCCTATCTTAGGTTCGGGTCCGAGTTCTTCGTCTCTGCACCCCGAGCAGCAGGGCTGCAGCTGGCGGCTGAGAGTGCAGGGGCCGGTCCGTGTCCGTGCACGAAGCCGAGTGTGCTCCCGCTCCCTCCTCCCCAACCTTCATCTCTCCCCCTGGGTGCCTGTTCCCCTGCCTGGACTCAGCCCGCCGGTCCCCGGGGGTGGGGCGACCAGAGGGCAGGAGCAGCGGTGCCCAGGGCTGCCGCCTCTGCTAGCACCGGAGATGCCCTGTCTGGGAGTCTGGGAAGCCGGGCACTGCCTCACCCGGTGGGGCGGGAGGCGCTTGCTCCCCAGGAAGCTCCTGAAGAGGCGAAGAGGCTGGAAAATGCTGTTAATTATCTGATTAATTGATTAGAGGGGGCAGCTGGCACCTTGCCACGGGAGCTGAGGTCCAGGGATAGCACTTCCCTATATGGAACGCGAAGGCCCTTCTGATCCAAAAGCAGAGAAGCCGCGGGCCCAGGCGGCGGGAGCAGGCGAGTCAGACCACTGTCTGCTCCCGGGGTGGGGGTGGGGAACGAAGAGATTCTGGAGCTGGGGGAGGTTTCACAACATTGGACAGACGTGGGCTGCTGGAGGGAGCGCTTGGACGCGGTCAATCCATGTTACGTATATTCCATGTTACGTATATTCCATGTTACCGATTCCACGTTACGTGTATTCTATCATAACGGCAAAGTGCCGCAGCAAATTCTCAAGCCTGTTTGCTTGTTTTGTTTGTTTTTGGGCCACGCCTGGCACTGCTCAGGGCTGACTCCTGGTTTTGCACTCAGGAATCACTCCTGGCAGACTCAGGGGACGCTCTGGGGTTGTGGGAACTGACCCTGGGGCGGCTGGTGCGAGGCCAACACCTTCCCGCAGGACCCTCACTCCAGCCTTCTCAAGCCTCGCGTGTGTCCAGGAAGA